ATATATGTGGACAGGTTAACAAGAAATAGATCTACAGTGATTGATGGTTGCATACACATAGCTTGGCATTAGCAGAAGATTCACAACAGCCATCAATGTTAGCGCAGGTATTCAGACTAAGAAGAACATGGATAGATAGTAAACCATTCTTACCTTCACTTTGCATGGTGTACATTATTTCTGCCTCCAGGTTAGGTGTTTGGTGATTCATTAAACTCAAACACATTTGTAAATAACATTTAAGCACATCATTAGCATGTCAGTGCTTTATCCTCTTAATACAGCACAGTAGCTGCCTGCTTTGCCCAATTGGTAATCCAGCTTTCAATGAGGATATTTTTTTATTTTCTGTTTTAGCAGACACAAGATTCATGAAAATCGAATAAATATGAAATAATTAAATATTGAATATCAGATAACATTTTTTATAAAATATCTGATGGGTTTTTTTCATCACATTTTGGACTATAAATGATGAATATCAATTTTAATAAATCAGTAAATTAGTCTATACAATGAGTGAAATAGCTAACCCTAATATTAAAACAAAAATACATTTAAACACAATTTAATCTGAGCGTTTATCCTGATTTTGATTAACTTTATTTTCTTTACTTAAGTCAGCTCATGTCTTTAATGTCTACTGGACTTTGTTTTCATTCTGGTGCAGTGGAGGTTTCCTGTTTCCCATTGTGTGGTAACATGTATAGAACATATGAATTGATCTAGGAAAAATGATAGGGACATTGAACTCCCACCCTTATTAATGTGATACTGTAGTAAAAATCTGTTTAGATGTGTTATACGGGCTACATATCATGTTTTGTCTCTCACTGTTTTGCAAAAAAGATGAGAAAAATAACAATAAAATTGTTTTTTTTAATTATGCATGAATACCAACACAACAAGTACTGTAAACACGAAGGGAATTAATAAAAACCTAACAGAGCTGTCTCGAGGGCGTGGCTGAGCGAGCAATTGTCACGTGACTCATCTGACGTCACTGACAGTCTCTTCCGGGTGTTTTGCTTCAGCTGGACGGTGTCAGCGAGCTAGCGTAGCTTTCTTTAAGAGTCAAAAGCCTTCATTTTTACAAAATGAACCGCATATTTGGTAGGGGAACACCCAAGGCTCCACCGCCGAACCTCTCAGACTGCATAGGAAACGTAAGTATTACCCAGATTTAACTTTTTGAACGCTGTCTCGAACAAAGTAAACAAAGATGGATCCCTTCTAGCTAACAGTTAGCTAACTTTTATGAGCAGAAAGCAGGCCAACGTTTGCCATATTTAAATGCTACGCTGTCACATTCAACGAGCCTAATAGTTAATAGTTATTATGTTACTGATAGCAGACAGGATTGTCATATTGGGCGTGTTTACCTAACACAATGTATTGACAGCGTCGGCCGACAAACTCCAGATTTAAACAAAACAATCGGTTGATCTGTTCACGTAATGAATCAGCATTATTTATTTGAGCCTTTACATTGACATGCAACAGACATGATGTCACTCTCTGGGTGAAAAGGCTGACAGCAACCAGTTATACTGGTTATTTGAGTGGGAAGAGCTATTATTACCCAACCTGGGAGGAGGAAGAAACGGATGATATGTGTAATGGTACTCGATAAGCCTCATTTTTCCTACTATGTTTGTACACCTAAAGAAAAGGCCCTCCATGATATTCATCATTTATTAAAATTGGTTATATTTATATCTGAAAGGCACGTTTTTGAGATGATTATACAGATAATAATCAAAAGCTGATGTCTGTGTTTCACTTGCAGGTTGATTCTCGCTCGGAGTCCGTGGACAAGAAGATTGCCAGACTAGATGTTGAACTTGTGAAGTACAAGGACCAGATGAAAAAGATGAGAGACGGGCCCTCAAAGGTGAGACTTAGTGTCCAATGCTGCTGTAAGACAAAGAAGAGAATGGGCTCCTGAAACCCTTTAGAGTGCTGCCATCCAGGACCCAAAGACACGTATCAGTGAAAATGAGATGTAAACATATTTATTTAATAAAATAATAAATGAAGTTCTCAAAGGTTAAATGCAGCTGCACCATAACGTTGCCTCAAGAAAATACAGTGTTAAATTGTCAAACATTGTATTTAAATCGGGAACTATCTTATCAAATATTAAGTTATTATGTACTTATGTCCCATTCATAACCAATCATTTTTTTCATTCACCAGAACATGGTCAAGCAGAAAGCTCTGAGAGTTCTGAAGCAGAAGCGGATGTAAGTACTTTTATTTAGTGTTTATAATATCAAATTAACTATAAAAGCGCTATATGTTTATGTTATCAGCCTCAGTTATTCCCTTATGTCAACTGTTGTGAGAGTCTAACTTTATATCATCTTTACATCTTCAGGTATGAGAGCCAGAGAGATAACCTCATGCAGCAGTCGTTCAACATGGAACAAACAAACTATACAATCCAGACCCTTAAAGACACTAAAACCACAGTAAGACAGGAAATGATTTACCGGATGATGTTTTCTTCCATCTGGAAAATGGATCTTTCTGCTGACATTTTCTTTTTTTCTTTTTAGGTCGATGCCATGAAAACCGGCCTTAAAGACATGAAGAAAGCATACAAGCATGTGAAAATAGATCAGATCGAGGTATTTGTTTTGCGAATACAGATTTACCGACCGAGATGATTGATCTCAGCAGATGAGATGGCGTCGCAGTTAATAATTGTGTATATATTTAAAGATAACACGCCATTATTCCCCTCCTAATGAGGCACTTTAAATATATTACAGTGGACTAGAAGTGAAGGGTAACCACACATTACTCAAAGCTCACAACCGGAACATATTAGGAATTAAGTAAATGTAGTAGACTGAAAAAGGAATTGTTTGGATGTGTTGAGGGCTGCATAAGGTATGATCCACAGTGTATGATGGCGGTCGGCATGGCCCCCACATGGAGACGCAGACAGGAGTACAGGCACAGAAGCAAAGTAGAACTGTGAACGGGGCGAAACAGCAGCAAAACGCATTTTCGCGACCTAAAATAAAGGCTCACCTCAAAAGAAATTAATATTTGTTTAAGGGATATACAGTCTATGTTTCAGATGGGGATCTGAAGCTGTTACATATCCATTTATGCACTCTTTAAAGCCACCAGACTCCATGTGAAGTCTTTGTTACAGAGCCGATGGATGAAGTGCAAACTTTGAACTTGTTTTATTTTCTTTTGATTTTCAGGATCTTCAAGATGAGCTCGGGGACATGATGGAGGATGCCAACGACATCCAGGAGGCGCTGGGCAGGAGCTACGGCACACCTGAAATTGACGACGACGACTTGGAGGCCGGTCAGTAAAAATACTTTGAGGATGGGGATTTTACTTTGACCATAATTTGCCAGTTATTGTGACTAATTGTGAATTGTCCACAGAGCTGGATGCTCTGGGAGACGAGCTCCTGATGGACGACGACAGCTCCTACCTGGATGAGGCTGCAACAGCGCCTTCCATCCCAGAGGGCATGCCCGGCGACAAGTCGGTCAACAGGGTACAACACAGTTTTAAGATTTTTATACGCGGTTCTCCTTAACTTACAGAGCTTTTTCATTAATGGTCATTCCTCTTGTGTTTCAGGATGGTGTCCTGGTGGACGAGTTTGGCCTTCCTCAAATTCCTGCTACATAAAAGTGCAATCCGAACACTCGTGCTAGTTTTACATGTATCATAGCCTTTTTGTATTTATCCAACTGACACTCCCAGCCTTTAGAGTGCGGCAATAAAAACCACAGCATCTTCTGTCCAACGAACGATGAACTGCATCTTAAAATCGGGTATCTTTCATTAAAAGTTGATTATTATTCTGTTAGTGAGCTCATATCTATCTGAGGTGATTGTTTGAATTGGGATTCTCTTAACTTTGTACAGTTTCTGCAGCATTTGATGCCAAGAACAAAATAAATAATATTTTTCAAACAATACATTGAAGTCATGCAAAAAGTAATTTATACAAAATTCACTTTTATTGCCAAGTTGAATATGTAGAAATGCAAAAATCAATAACTTAAAAAGGCATTATTTATTTGTATGTACACTTAATTGAAAAAATAAATACGGATTTCTTGAAGCAAGTTGGGGCTCAACTAAAGTAATCCACAGCATCATCACCAGCTCAGCCTGTACGTGTGAGGGAAGATTCTTTGGTGCAGATACTCCACCACACTGCTTTTCTTCCGCAGCTTTTCAAATTCATAGTGAGGAATCTAGAAAAAAAAGAAATGCTTTAGTCATTTGATAAAAACAAGAAAAGTCAGAAGGTCCTGTGATACTTTAATTCTATGCACCATTTTGTATTAAACAATTTGGGCAGATCAAAATCTGGCAGAAAATGCCTAAAAAAAAAGTGAAGATGAGGGTCCAACCTGAACGACTTCATATCCCAGAAGCCTCAGGTGTCGCTGCTTCATGGCCTCTTTTCCAAGTAGCTGCCTGGTGTTTGTAGTGAACCTCTTCTGTCCGTCAATACAGAGAGCGATCCTGCAACACATCAATCCACCCAGAGCGATGCGTTAAAACCGTTTTTTAAACCATGTCAGCTTCGACATATTTTACATAACACCATTTACCTTTTGTATACATCGTCAACATGACTGGCAGGCAGAACATATCCTTCCTCATCAAGTTTTATCTCCACATCTACAAGAACACACAAAAAAAAGGTAGTTGATGTTAAGCCTCTTTAGGTTGACTACAGGACACATTTAGGAGACAAACAGCTGTTATGTTACCGAGCGTGTAGCAGTACGGCGTCAGAACTTTGGATCCAAAGTATGAACGAGCCCCGAGCAAATCCACCAGTCCGTTTTTCACAGAGTTGTACAGATGTGGGTCCACGGGCGTCTCCAGAGAGCGTCCAGACATGAGGAAGGACTTGACGCGGTACTTGGGAAGGAGCCTGGGACCCTGAGGAGACAACACGAGGCGTGAAGGAACACAAATACATGAAGTGGCTGGCCTTCAGAATAAAAGCACAGGTAGAAAGTCACCTGTACAGGTTTTATCACATAACTGGAATGCACTGAACCTCACACGAGGATGACATGTTGTAAGAGGGTGTGTATTCAGGTTTGAGGCTCTTGCATTATTTCCTTTTGTTGACATAGTTTTACATATTGTACCTCATAGAAAGGACACTCCAACTTCAAAGTCATGTAGAGCTGAGTCAGCTGTGCCAGGATGGTCCGGTCCAATCCTGTGCCCTGATCTGGAACACAGGCAATTTGAGTCAATAGTATTTTTATAGCCTATAAGCCCAACATCACAAATGTGTCTCAAGAGGAAAAACTCCCCCCATGTAATAGCTGTTGTGTGTCTAGAATAGATCAACATAAATGCAACACAGTCACTATGAGTGTTCTTTTTAAGCATGCGTTTGTGGGAAGCTTGTACATATCGCAGGTGTCTGACAGGATGATTTACGTTGCAGTTGCTGTAGAAAGTAACTGCTGAACACTTTGGAGACAAAGTTAACAGGGAACCTCTCCACCAGGGTGCAGGAGTGGAGGAGGTTGAGCAGCGTCCGGGGCTGGAAGTGTGAAAAGCGCGTCCGCAGGATGGTTTCAACTTTCCTGAAGACCTCGCCAGCGTTGGGAGGAAGGTAGCCGAGCTTTCCGAAAGCCATGATCTGCCTGGCCACCTGGCTGGTGCTGTAGTCGTCCGCTCGGTACACGAAGCTCTCCGCAACGGCATCGAATACAGTCGGGGACAGGATGTTCCTCCGGCCGAAGAACTGAATCAACTTGGTGACCGTCTCTGGGTGGGATGTGAAGGTCATTGTGGGCACATACCTCTCCATCGCCTCCACAAAGTAATGATCACTGTGGCCGAAGTGCATCAAGGCCCCGAGCACAACGGTGAGCTCTTCGTCGGTGAAGTGAGGCACGTGCCGTACAGCCTGTTTACACAGATTGATCACGAGAGGCATGGCCTGCGTCTGGTTCAGAGTCACGAGAGCGCTGAGCAGCCCGCTGACAGCCGGAGGATCCATGCGGGAGGTGGCGGTCACGGCGTGGGAGTGCATGGCGTTCAGCAGGTCCCGATGTTTTCCATCTTGACCCACGTTACCTTGCAGAAATCCATAGGCAGCGGTGAGATCCGCAAGGCTCCACTGGGCCGGCTCCTGCTTCTGGATTTGCTCCATCACCTGCTCCAGCACCACGCAGCCAGGACCCTCCAGAGCCAGCATTGCCCGGCCCAGGGTGCACAGCTGCCCTACATTCATCTGCCCTCTGTCCAGCCGCTCCTGGCTCTCGGACACCAGCCGCACCATCAGCGTGCTCCACGGATCCAGGAAGAGGCGGGTGCAGGCCAGGAGAGCTGACACCAGTCCAGCATCCGTCAGGCGCACAGAGTCCTGCTCCAGCTGGAAGCACAGAGCCCTGATGGTGTCCTTCTCCAGCACCGCAGGGTCCTTCAGGGAGCCGCTCTCCTGCTCCAGGTCGGCCACACGGTGAAGTGCTGCTGCAGCCATGGTGTCAGACATGATCCCCACGGTGCGCAGCAGTGTGAAGACCTGCCGGGAGGAGGAGCAGCCCCCGAGACGCTGCAGGAAAGCCTGTTCCTCTGCAGCTGTGGGTCGGTGCAGCTGGGTCAGACTGAACCGAGGTCCCGAATCTCTGTGGAGTCCTACAGAGCTGCTAGCCACAAAGGACGGCTCTTTAACCATGCTGGTCAGGTTCCTCGTCCCGCAGTCCAGCTGGAACTTCTTGCAGCCCTGTCTCTGGATGCTGCCGCCAGCTGAGGTATACAGGCAGGCTACACATACAGGCAGTTCACCGCTGGCCCTCAGGAGCCCGGTGGTGCACACAGGTCCAACAGGAAGGTAGCGTTGAATCCCGACCTGCCTGAGCAGCGGAAATCTCTGGATCAGCTTCAGAGCCATGACCAGAACTCTTCACACCCAGCTGGAACCATGAAAAACACAAACTTTAAGAAACAAGAGAAGGTTTACTTGAGGAAAACGCACATATTTCCTCTATGTATCGTTAACTAAATCAAAAGTTCATCCATGTTACAAGCAATGAGAGTAACTTACTCAGCATCGTTGCTTTTCTGTTAACTAACCAACCTTGAGGGTGCTGTTAGCTAACGTTAGCCACTTAGCTGCTAGCTTCCTGGCTAGCACAGAAGAGTCTCGCTGATCTGATTAACGTGTTTAACGGCTGACACCTCGACACAGAGTGACAGATAAACAACTAATGACAAGATGAAACCGGCAAAATGCATACCGTGACATGCCGACGTCTGCACGAGGACACAGAACCGGTGACAGCGAAGATGTGTCCCTAACGTGGTTCCGTAGGATATTGAGGCGTTCAGGGAACCTCGTTATGCAGTACTTTCGGAAGCACAGTATTGGATTATAACTATATACATCAAGTGGTTCGTGCGGCGTTTGATCGGAATTAAACTTGGGATATCCATAACAGTTACTTAAATCCACCACTTTTACTGACGAAGTCAATTTATTGACCTCACCTTTGATGGACGTTTTGCGCTTCACGCCGATTCGAATCTTTACCGACAGCATTAGAAGGCAGCACCGTTCAGCATGAGTTTTTTGTTATTTAGACAATAGAGGGCAACATAACCCATTTAATAACTGCACAATCTCACCCAATAGGTTTCCACTAGTTTAAATGGCCTAAAAGTGTCATTAAAATGTGATGATATATAGATTGTCATACTATAGTGTGACTTTATTACTTTCTGACCGTTTAATGGCATACTATACTTACTAAGTCACAGTATAATATGTCACAAAAATGTCAGAAAATAGTCATGATATTGTATGCCATAAAAAACAGAGATAAGAGAAGTCATAAAAAACTCATGGTGTAGTCTGCCATAAAAAAAACATGTAAAATGAACTATAGATTGTATATTTTTGCCAATGTATCTTTCTGTGAGTGTGAATGATGTGTGCAAGGTGTCTGTGTGTATGCAAATAGGTGTTTGCCATGACGAGGAGACATTCAGTTGTCGGCTTCTTTGGGTGAACTGCATATTGACTTCAGCTCATTACATAAAGAGCCAGGATGCTGTCAGCTCAACGGCAGTGGAAAGGCGCATCTTCATCATCCCCAAACCGGCCGCAACAGCACCCTTCCCTGGACCAACTGAAGCTCTGGCCATACTGATGGTTTTTATTCTACTGGACGTATTAGGCTACGGCTGGCCTGACTATTTACTTAATCTCCCCTTTTTGTACCTGCAAAGGGGAGTAATTTATTGTAATTTGGTTTAATTTATTTCTTCAAGTTAGATCTGTTTCTTCTGAGGTTTGACTTGTAATAAAATGTCCTAGTCAACCGCGCCTTAAAAAGCCATAGTATAGCATGTCGAAAAAAAATGCATGGATATGATCCTGATGTTCAAGCGGTAAGGATGGTTTTCACCCATGCGGTCTGGTTTCGACTCGCGGTATGGGAATTTGATTTTAAGCCGATATAGAAAACAAATCAAAGAGTTATAGTATAAGCATGCAGTGCATGGGGGCCAGGGACGTCTTCCCCGGGCTTTGAAGCCCCTTCACATCCTGTGGAGCCCCCCCAAACTGGACACACACACCCTCTTCCCAGTCCACTGTGGAAAATTTCAAAACACATCGTCTTTTACTTTGCCATTTTAGAGGCAGACAAACCAATTTACACAATTTCAAATACTTGCCAATCATCAGCTGGCACATGCACATATCTACGTTATTGGCATGTGCAATTATCTGACATCTGAGCCTACAGCCATGCCAGCAGCTTTGTGAGGCAGGTAGCAGCTACAATTTAAATCTGAGTCACACAATAAAACAGGGTTCAACCAGGGTTTGAAACTGCTCCAATGTGAACTCTTTTTTCCACCACATGTACCTGGTGCACAGAACATGTTCCTCTTGTTTACCCTTGGTAAACGCAAGACTAAACAAGTTGTGAAACAAGTTGTGGACCGGAACAATGCTCTAACACACACGTCTTCACTCCTCAGTGGAGAAAAGGCTGCAGTGGATCCCTTCAAGTGCTTCTCTTGACTTGTTCACCTGCTGTAAGTAGGAACATATCAAACTTAATACACGTATTTAAGAACACTAAGAAGACTTGCATGAATTCACTCTCATGTACATTTAGTTTTAGCATCCATGGATTCTCTGGACCTAGTGAGCCCTTACTTGTTCAAGTACAAAAGGAGGAACTTTCTGGTCAAGGACGAATTGCGACCAACAGGCCTTGATGCTCTGCAGCATTTTGAGATCCGTCCCACTGACATCTTCCTCGTCACGTACCCCAAGTCAGGTCAGTTGTTTTCTATAACTTTCTGCTAAATTCGACACTTTTACAGCTTTTTTATCAAACAACTGTTACCTCCGAAGTTTCCTTCAGGAGTTCCCACGCTAGATCAGGGTCAAAAGTCTGAACTGAAAAAAAACGACCTGAAAGTGAAAAAAAGATTTGAATCTGAAAATATAAAATCTGAAACTGAAAAATATAAGACCTCGAATATCAAAATCTATATGAAAGTGAAAAATGAAAAAGAAAAATGTATTCAAAAAAATTCCAGGACTGAATCAAAATTATATTCAACCCCAAAAAAAATTCCATTCACTTATTTTTATTTTGAATACATTGCTGTATTTTTCAATGTTGTTCAAGGTTGAAATTGTCCGCTGGTATATCGTTGGTTTCTAGAGCCTTCAAGTATTTTCAAAGGAATAGCAAGCATGTTTTCTCAAGTCAACCTTCGCTAAGCCCCGCCCCTCAAGCGCAGACTGGCCAATTATAACTCTTCTGCGTGATAGACACTCGCAGCCGTGTAAGATGTTTTAAAACTTTGTGTCACTATCAGAATACGTCAGCACATCATTAACTAGCACAGTAATCTACTGAAGGTGTACTGGATGTATACAGATAGCGTTTTCACTTTTTAATGATTGTTACTGTGAATACAGACATAACCGGCTTTACAGGAACAGTGCTGAGTCAGTTTCACATCCTGGATATTTCCCTCAAACACATATTGCAGACCTTCTGTCGGCTTTTCTGAAATTGCTTTTTTGTTTTTCCAAATATTAGACACTATTTTGTCTAGCTAAACCTAGTGCAGTTGAATACAACAAACTGTCATGAAGGTTAAAATGTTTAGTTTGAAACTGTTTTGTAGAGCTTGTAGTTCATAGTGCTGACAGGTGTTTCTAGTGTTTATTATTTCCACCACATACAATGATGGTAACAGAAACAGGCTGGTCTGGTATGTTCTTTTTCTTCTGTTGTATTTAAAACATCCCATATCTTATTTGACTCTGCAGGTACAATATGGATGCAGCAGATTCTGGTTCAGATCATGGATGCTGCACACCCTGAATCGGCAGAAGATGCCACCAACAGGTCAAGAGTTCCTTGGCTGGAGGGGAGAACTGCGGACAACCCTTTCAGAGAAAGGACTGATCCTCGAGTCTTTCGCTCGCATCTCCCCCCAGACATGTTACCTCAGGGGGTGAAAGCCAAACAAATCAAGGTAATTTACAATATTCGATTCAATTCAAGCATTGATTTAAGCATCCGCCTGTAGCCGAATTCACAAAATACGTATGTTTTTTTTTGCTTTAGGTTGTGTATGTTTGGAGGAACCCCAAGGATGTCCTGGTGTCGCTCTATCACTTTGCCCACAGTTGGGTGTTGCTGGAAACACCTCAGAGCTTTGAGGATTTCTTTCAGCAGTTCCTGGATGGTGACGGTAGGTTCAGTATTATGGGGTTCCTTAAGTACATCAGAGTAAGAACACAGAACAGAATCAACTGTTTTTGCATCTACTCGTGTAGGATGGTCTGATTTTATTGTAAGATACAACAAGGAGTTGAAATTTGAAATGAGGGATTTCACTTTTCAAATAAAACATGTTTGTGTATCTCACTTTATCTTTGTAAGGTTAGTATTTAGTTAAGTTTTAGAAAACAAACATTAACATCATACAATACCAGCAAGTATCACTCACCTTTAGTTTTCAGCGCTGACACACAAATCTTTTCTCCAACAGTTTTCATGGGATCATGGTTTGATCACATCTGTGATTATCACAACGCACGAGACCAACTGAACATCTGTTTTGTGCAATATGAGAATATGTTGAAGGTTAGGAATCTTCTTTTTTCTATTGTTTTTTTTATAGAACTTGACCTTGATAAAAATATATAAATGAGTTGAGCACTGTAGCAAAGATTAACTAATGTGCATGGACGTAACAGCCATGACGTAACACAGACTTCCTGCAGATTTTGGATTGATGGGCCTTTGTTTTTGCACATATTGTATACACATCTTTGATTGACAGGACCTCAGAGGAGAAGTTGTGAAGCTTTGTGCCTTCCTGGGAAAAGATCTGACAGATGAAGCCATTGATCATGTTGTGGAGATGTCCACCTTTAAAAACATGAAGACCAACCCCAAAGCAAACTACAAGGACTTGGTTGAAACCAACCGCTACAAGAAGAAAACCATGCGCAAAGGTTTGTTTCCACTACTTTTGTCATCATTTACAGAGAAGAAATTTACTTTTAATGGTGGGAAATGACTAAGCAGCAGACCAGTACAGACAGGTACATCTCAGATTTTTTTCCCGTATCCGAACAGGTATAGCAGGTGACTGGAAAAATGTCTTCACTGTGGCCCAGAATGAACATTTTGACGTGTTCGAGGAGAAGATGAGCAACTTGCCGCTGACCTGCATCTGGGAGATTAAAGAATAGCTCCTCTTAAAATCAGCCCCGGCCCTCAAGTGGAGAAAGTCTCCCTCAACATGTCCGCACGCTCACAAAAACAGTGTTTCACTCCCAAAGTGATTCTCTCTACACACTTGAACCTTTCTATGCAGTGACTGGTGGAAACTGGCCTCTATCAGTCTGAAATTCATTTTACAAACTGTCAGTGCTGATCACTGCGATTAGTTAACAGGGTTAAACTTAAAGAAACCGTCCCTATGAAATATGATCATGCAAAGATATACTTTTCTGAAATTCGAGTAAACTTGCCCTTTAACACAAAGCCGAAATAAACGATCAATTAACCATACAAGCAGGGCAATAGATCACTATAGTAGTGTGTGTGCAGGGCCATAATCCTGTTTCTCCTAACTAAAGCATGCAATGCTTGTACTAGGTCAATGTTTTAACCATTTATTTTCTCCAACTGAAGCATCTTTGTTTACCTCTATTTTGTCACCAAAGAGTTTTGAGTTCAAAGAACTTGTAGCTGAATATATGAATGATATACGCATGGTCATTGTGTTGATTTTACACCTCTCGTCTAGCCAGAGCTTTGATGAGCAATCAATAAATCCACCAGAAACAAGTGATGCGACTCTTTTTTCCCCCAATTGGACGGTCAAGCATGAAGTTCAGCATGTGTCTTCAGTTGACACATCCTGTTCTACAAAAAATATAAGATGTTTTGCATTGGAAGTGTACATTTTGAGCTTATGTAGATACTGCTGGTAAAGTAATTAAAACCTAATCATAGATGGGATCAACTGTATAATGCACGTCTAACAGCTCAGAGTCCTCACTTGTCTGTTAAATTAGGGTTTTTAATAATAGAACCACTTGATTCTCATGACAGAAACACTCAACGATGTTTAGGTGATCATAGTATTTGGACAGCTCTTCTTTTGAGTTGTTGCGCCACAAAACAGCACCTTATTTTTTAGTAACGACGGTGTTCATTTGTTCTTAGAGCAAGAATTCAGCTCGCGCTAGTCAGCACACGTTGAATGAATTTAGCAAGGAGGTAGAGTCGACTTGTCAAGTCTTGACAAGCACCCGAGGAAGGAAAAAATGTGCACAAGCACCTTAGTTGTAAACAAAATAAAGACAGAATAATGCACCACTTATTTCAGTTGTCATTTATGGAAGGGAGAAAGTCAAAATACAACTTGATAGATGGCTTCATTTAAAAAGTTTATATTATAAAATGTAAAAAGTCAGCTAAACCTGATCACATGAATTGCAAAGATTTATCCCGTAGAGCTTCCAAGGTGCTGCCACTTCACATGACAGGAAAAACATTTTACAACCTATTTTTCCCTCTTCTCATTAGAGATGTGTACATTTGGCAATACTGGAAGTTCACAACAAACAAGAGTGGCTAGTTATTGCTTTGGTTTAGTTTAGTTTAAAATGGGGTTTGTACTGGAAAGTTGACAAGCTGCACCGTGATCTAGCTGACAGAAGAGGAGAAGAGGGCGGAAAGAATTACGCTGGTATGGCTCTTTAATCGTCCTTGTCCTTGGCACCGTGCTTCAGGATGCGTGTGAACTCCACGTAGTTGAAGTTGCTTTTCTTGTCGATGGGGGCCTCTCTGAAGAGCTCGTCCACCTCCTCATCTGTAAACCGGTCACCCATTGTCGTGAGCAGCTCTCTGAGATAATCATCCTGGATAGAACCTGAGTGGAAAACAGTCAAATCAGATGAGGCAACTTCATTTGTAAAACACTTTCTAAACGCCGCTGCAATCTAAAGTGCTTTGTGTCTGAATTTACCTGTCCCCTCCTCATCGAAGCAAGCGAATGCATTTCTGATCACATCCTCGGGGTCTGTGCCATTGAGCTTCTCCCCAAACATGGTGAGGAACATGGTGAAGTTAATGGGTCCAGGAGCTTCCATCATCATCGCCTCCAGGTAATCCTCAGTTGGATTTTTCCCTATAAATAGAGCCGGTTATGATGCACTTAGTCTGAAGAGTTGTGACATTAACAACTGAACAGCGTAGGTGCACACCCACATGAATAAAGTGCAGAACTGCCTACAGCTTCTTACAGACGTGTTTGATGCGCTAGCCCTGAAGTAAAAACTGACTCTCCTACTCACCAAGAGAGGCCAGCATGTCGTGAAGGTCCTCTTTGTCCACGAACCCATCACGGTTCTGGTCGATCATGTTGAAGGCCTCCTTGAACTCCTGGATCTGAGACTGGTCAAACATGGCGAAGACATTGGAAGTTGCGCGCTGAGGGCGCTTCTTCGTGGTCTTTCCCTTTGCTCTTTTGCTAGACATTTTGACTTTTGTTTTACCTGCGGAAATAAATAAATGTTTATGTATACATGTTGCATTATAACAGGCAGGAGCTTACTGCTTAGGGAAGACGACCATTATCAAATGACAGTGTAAATACAATAAGGAGAGAGGAAAAATACATAATACTGGCCCAATAACAAAGCAAAAAGATGACACACGGAGACAATCTGATCAAAAGGTTATGTGGATCATAACGTTACTCAAAATAAGATTTTGTCATCCATGCCCCCAACTCAGTGGAAGGGTATTTAAATTATCTGGCAGCGATTCCCCAGCGTGGTGTCCCTCACTGAGCTATAAATGGAAATGTTCCCCAGCTTTCTAGGTTGATCAGCTCACTGGCTTCACTGAAGGCAGAAGAATTAGTGATGTGAGAACAGATGCCCTTATCAGGCAATGTCTTGAATGAAGACGCTCTCAGACATTCACATCTGGATGTTGACACATGATGTTTTTGCCACTGGATGTTGATGGAAAACGGGTCTCAAACAGACAGCGTGTGCTGCGTAGAGCTTTGCCTTGTATTGAGACACTGTTAATATGGTGACACGGCTCGATATTATCTATGAGATGAAGGTTCAGTGATACAAGTTTTAATGTTAGTTAGAGCTGAACTTACTCATTCAGTGTATAAACTGTCAATCATATGTTCCCAGTGTGACACACTCAAATTGCTTCTTTTGTTACAATAACATAGAAAAGAACCAATATGCAGATGATGATTATTATATTATTATTATTAATGAAAAACAGCAAATTCTAAAATCGAGACAACAGAAAATAATTTTACTTATTGCAATACTTTTGTTTTTGCTTTAAACATTTAGTCTTTACAATTACAAATCACTAATTATGAAGTTTAAAATGCCATCAAAACATTTACAGAAGAGTTCCCAATATGTAAAAAGTAGCTTACATTATGGTGACTTACTTAAATTAGCGAGGAGCACTTTCCTAAACGTAACGTGCAAAACCAAATAGTCATCCTCAACTTATCGTCATGTTAGTTTGTTTTAGGAACTCATTTTATTCCATTTCCTGGAGCTTTAGCAAGTACGTATACAGTTGCGGCCTAGCTTGAGTCATAATAAATTATTAGCCGCGAAGCTAACAGCTAGCCGTGTTTTCAGTGCAAAGTGGCACAATACCATAGTCAGACATACGGCATTCCTTTAAATTTGCATTATCAATTTGATATACTGATAGCAAAGCATTTATACTGTAGATAAGTGTGGTATGCAGAGAAATAAAGTCAAAACAGACAGTCTTACCTGACAACAACACGACACTCAGCTAGCCCGATGCTGCTCTTTTCTCAACCACCGCCCTTCACTTCCTGATAATCATATTGGGTTCCGTACAGAACATTCAGATCAAACCAAGTGAGAAAAATAGGGGAGATCATCAAGCATGAAGCTATTATTACTCTCTTGAAAAACTATTTATAAGTTGTTTTGAGCCGAATATTACGCTTACGTAATAAAATTGAACTTACATTCTAAAACAGATCCTAATGTTATATTATTAACGGTATTAAAATACATAATGCTCCTTCACACCCCCGATGGAGGAAATGTAACTTCCACAAACACTCCCTTGCCTGCCTTGACATTCCTGGATATGCCCTTTTAAGGTTAGAAAGACACACATCGTCCTTTGCGCAATTAAGGGAAGGGAAAACTAAAATGACCCCCGTGGGAAACAAATGGGCGTTACTATGAATATGGCAAAATTATTCTTTATTTTATTTTGTTGTTGTTGATGCTGTTAATCTGACTCAAATACTTTCATAATTACATGCATCTCAGCTGGGTGTTATTTCTATATTTTCTAGTATGTGGCAGTTGTCAGCTTGTTTATTTTGTTTGTATTATATTTATTACATTATATTTAGTGTAAAAATATGTATATGCTGCTTTCTCGGCCAGGTTTCTCTTGTAAAAAGAGAACTTAATTTCAATGGGACTTAACCTGATTGAGTAAAGTTAAAGAAAATAAAATCAAAAGGAAGTTCACACACTTAAACCAATACAATAGGGGGAAAAATGTTGATAGAAAGGATAATAATAGATACTGACTGCCCACCGTGGGTAAAACAACAGTTGGTCATTGCTGCAAAGGGAGGCTTAGTGCTGCCGAGCTTCTAAAGCAAGATTTTAAACTGTTGAGTCATGGGTTGAAACAAGCTGCATCCTTTTTTGTCCAGTTGTCCTATCACTTTTAAAGTTGATAACAAAATGGCTGAACATATGGCATGAGTCACTCATAGTTATGCTATATGTTGGAACCAAACAAGTCACCAGTGTAGAGCTGCAGTAGTCCACAAATAACATGACTAGTGTTAATGATGGTAGGAGTTGAGTGATTAAAAGGCACAAACCAGCAGTGTTTATTATTATGTTGTAGCCAGTTTAAGAACAAATATAGACGCTGATTTAAATAGTGCCACAAAGCTAAGAAAAAGCTGTTTTTATCATTGGGTCCATCAATTAGAACAGCTCGCATACATCTGGAAATTAAACATTTCAATTCTGGGTCTAACTCATTTGATTACACACTTTTCAAGCGGAGGCAAGCACATTTTTTATATGCAAATGTAATACTTTCCAGTTGATCTCTTTGTATTTGTTCATGGTGGGCCTTGCTGAGTCAAATGTACAATAAAATGACATTATGTAGTGTCACGTTAAACCACTGGAGTGTGCTATAGCTTCAAATAAAAGCTCACCTTTTCTCAGCGATATTATAGACAGTTTCTTGAGGCCATTAACAGTTTATCTCAGCATGTTACCCAATCCTGTGTGAGAGTCTAG